TACACGATGCCTTGCTATCGTACGCACGTACACGCGGGTACACGCGTACACGATGCCTTGCTATCGTACGCACGTACACGCGGGCGCGGATTGCCGTTACCTGCTCAGGCGTGCCCAGCACGGTGCAGATCTTGAAGATCTCGTCGATCTCGGACGATCCGGGGAAGAGCGGCCGCAGCGTGTACAGCTCTGCGGCAATGCAGCCCAGCGCCCAGATGTCTATCGCTGAGCTGTACGTCGTAGAGCGCAGCAGCACCTCCGGCGCCCGGTACCTGCAGACAGCAACGAGGCGCGCGCGGCGTCAGTCTAACACTACCAGCAAGCGCGCAGTTTTCCGCCGGGTTAGTTTGTAGAGATTTGAAGTTGACAGCAGTTTTTAAATGTTTAGGTTGCGCAGTTTTTGAGTTTGCACAGTTTCCGCTGGGTTAGCTTGCAGAGTTTGTTAGTTGCACAGTTTTTAAGTTTATAAGTTTTTAAATTGCGCAGTTTCCGCTCGGTTACTTAGCAAAGTTTTTGAGGGAAAGTTGTCGACGCCACAGCAGCAGTGGATAGGTAACGACGAACCAGCTATTGTCGACTCGTTAGTTTCATTAGCCTCATTAGTCTCGTTAGTCTAGTGATCACTCATTACCATCGGGTGGAGACGTAGTCCGTGTATGGCGGCCGAGACCGGATCTCTCGTGCGAGCCCAAAGTCGGCTATCTTGACTAGCTCCGGACCGGAACATAGAAGGTTCTCAGGCTTCATGTCCCGATGGAAAAACCCTGCGGGGGTGTAATGAACGAATAACACATGTGGTGTATATAGCTGTACACACACACGCACACACGCACACACGCACGCACGCACGCACGCACGCACGCACGCACGCACACACGCACGTGGAATCATGCATGCACACACGTGGATGCATGCTATGCATGCATACAAGCATGCACACACGCGCTCGCACACGTGGATGCATGCATGCGCACGCACACACATGGATGCATGCATGCACACATGCATGCACACACGTGGATGCATGCATGCACGCACACACATGGATGCATGCATGCACACATGCGCACGCACACGTGGATGCATGCATGCACGCACACACATGGATGCATGCATGCACACACGTACACGCACACACGTGGATCCA